TAATAAATACTGTTCAATTTGGTGGAAAACGAAGTAAAAATAAACCAATACTTACGAATAAAGAGTGATTAAGATGAGAGAAAAACCGAGTTACAGATGTACTTGAAAACTGTGGGCTGAACTTACCAAGATGGCGCCATCCATGTTTTGGTTCTTTAATTACCTAGACGCTAAGCTCATCTTAAAACATTTTTTTTTAACCATCATATACATCTCTACTTGGCCAAACTGTTACAGGTGTTCAGCTTGCCATTTTTCTCGCTGCTTTGGCGTTAACTTACCGAACGCCTCAGGGGAACATGCAACTACTTGGAAAATATCCCATTTACACTAAACCCTGATTGATTAGTGGAACCCTCTCACCTGCAACTCCTTCCTGCTTGCATTTCTAATAGAGTTCCCTTTTTGCAAATCTCACTCGGGAGTCTTCGATCGAAAATTAGATTTCTCTTTTCGTTTATTGCAAAACAAAGATTGACATTAAGACAAAGTAAATCGAAATCTTCTGTCGGATCGTTATAACTCAATTCATAGATGCGTTAACAGGCGAAACGAACTGCCAGAATCGAACCAGTGTCATGTCACTTATAGCATGAAGTAAGCTTCAGCCTTTTGAGATCTTCGTTAATTCCGCCTAACCGATAAAAATTGGAATAATCAAGATTGAGTAGATTGCCTAAATCGGCTACTCTCTGATCTCAGTCGCTGTCAAGGCATGGGCAATCCTTGCCAAACTGGTCAAGAATCGGACATGGTCTAATCCGCTTGTTATTACATTTTGGGTACGGTAATGGGAAGAAAATTTATTATTCACCATTAACTCTAAACATTGAGGCTCGTTTATGTAATACTGTTGAGAATACAAGTTTGCATGATTGTAACAATGATTCAGACAAAAAAATGTCTCTCGTGAAATGAAAGAAAATATAAGCTCTGGTATTTTGCGTGCTTTGCGTAATCTCGTAGTGATTAAATATTGCTTTACAAAAATTGGTTACGTCTCACCACAACAGGACAGATTCCTTGGACTTACTACTTACCTAGGACCTAAGCTTAAAAAGAGGGAAAAAGATCGAGAGCTAAAGCATGCTTAGATGATAATAATACTGTTTTGTCATTCATCTTTGGGTATTTTATCATTATTATTATTATTATTATTATTATTATTATTATTATTATTATTATTATTTCACGGGGTGCATTCAATAAATTTACTGAAGAGGATAAACTCGAGAATTTTATCGGTCATGAAATTTCCTACTTTATGCCCAAAGACACAAAACATATAAACTAGGCAGTATTGTTATTTCTAACTGATAGAAAAATTTGAATTAACTATACCGTTTAGAATTATGGATTTTCATAACAACAAGTAAATATAAAGTCAGCTTTCGAGCCCAATGACCCTTAAGGCCGGCGCTTATCTTAGCAAGAAGAGACTGCGAATATTTCTACTCCGCCACAGAAGGGATGCTAGCCTACTGCACGGTCACCCAAGCATTAAATTCGCCAGTACTGGTTTATGCACCTGGGTAGTGAGAGGTAGTGTGAGAGCAATATGTCTTCGCACAAGAGCACAACACAATGTCCTGGCCCAGAGCCCGAACCCAGACTGCTCGATCCGGGATTCTGCGCACCAAGCGTTCGATTACCACGCCTCCTACAAATGGATCTCTTGAGAAATTCAATTATTGCAGCTTAAATAAATGGAAATTATTCAAAAGGAAGAGTTGAAGTCATAGGATTGGCAAAAGATAATTTATCTGCTTTTTTAAAGAACTTTCTTCCCCGTGCGTTTGCGTTGGAAAAAAAGGAATTGAAAAAACAAAAAGAGCAGATTCATGTGTTAGTTAAACTGATTTTCTAAAGGTATTTTTCCGTAGCACTTAATGCATACAACTACCTCTTTTGCTGCACAGTATAATTAGCCCTACTCAACTCGTAAGTGTAAATAATTTATATGTAGCAACATTAAAAAGAATGAAATGGGGAGTAAAAGATTAATCATGGATGGCAAATGTTGGTAATAAGGATATTACATCTACATGTCTTCGATCATTTCTTTTTGCATAGGAGTTCATTTATTTAAAACAAAGTTCCTTTGGCAGAAAAGATTTAGTTAAGCTTGGGACTGGAGGCAAAACAGCGCGTTTTGCTAGTTCTCGAAATGACCACAAGAACTTTAATTTTATCATTTTGATCCTTTCTTGTACACATTTCTCAACCTTATACCGATGTCAAAGGAAAAACTCTAAAAATATACCATTGGTGTCTTTTAGTAAACTGATTTTCTTTAACTATATTCAGCCGTAATTTTAGGCCTAAAATGTATTTATAAATATTTAATAAGAGAGAAAAAACTGTACGAAAGCTCAAGTTATTATTCTTAATTTTAAATGTCATTTTTTTCCTTCCCTTTTGTGGTGCCCAGATGAACGAATTCGAAGCAAAAAGGTTAACGACGTTTTGAAAATTAACTTCTGTAGTAAAATGAATAAAAAAAGATGATCTCAAACAGAAATCGCTATTGTTTATAGTTAACAGTGCAGAGAATGCTTTACGATGAAGCAGATAATTTCTCTCGAAATCATCTAGCTAATTCAAGATTTAACCCATGCTGCTACTGGGTCATATCTCCATTTAATTTCACTTCAAGTCCCGCGAAGCTATGGATAATTAATTTATTTTAAATAATTACAGGACGCTGACAGTGCAGCGATGCCAACTCGTGATAGTGAAGCAATATTCGTTTATCCGATAACTTATCTGTGTTGTTAAAATTGTTATTTTCTGGAAACTGGTTTTTACAAATTCAAACAGCTTCTTACTTGAAAGACTGATTAAACAATGCCAATTTTTATTGAATTATATCATATATGTTAACGAATTATTTTATGGCGTTTCTGCGCTGTTTTAATATCTTGAAAAAGTTCTGCGTCGGCGAGGCGTTAAATAAGTTCAATAAACCATAAGAGGACAATGTGATAAACCACAGTATCTTCCCTTGCTTGTCGTTAACAGTAGGGCCATGTTTACAGTTATTAAAACAGGTTGTTTTCTTTAAACAGAGATTAATTCTAAAGCGAAACGTACCAGTTAACAGTTGTAAGGTGTTTTTAAATAGTGCTCAGTTTGCAAGCTGTTGAAAACTATTGCTGTTTGTCCTTCGACAATCGTAAACACTTCAAAGAGGTTCCGTATTCACATTGTGGTTAGGTGATTGCTTAAACAACTCACATACACAAATTTCAAACGATGATATCTCTCTACTAGAAAATTCATCTGTCTTAGTCCAGCGACTTAACTCATTGAATTGTTTATGAGTATGTTGTTTGAAAACAAAAAATTGATATCGAATTATTTACCCAATTTTTAATATTGGCTAGCAGACGTCTTTCGTGTGAAAGTCGAATACCCATTTAAATAAAAGTCAATCGATGGAAAACAGCTACCATTATACGGAATTTTATTTATCGTTGATCCTTCGAAGATCTCTAAAGTACGGCGGTTTTAACAAACATAAATGTTCTGAAAGTTTTCTATTTCTTGTGGGACGCGACAGAAAATTTAATTGTTTCATCCTTTTTCGCAACATCTGTCCCTCATTTAGGTATTGGGTCAACTTTATCTTTACTAATGCGTTCATTATATTAAGAAATTTACTTTTCAAGACAATGAGATAGAAAATACATCAGTTTCACTCTGAAGATAAAAGCCGATTCGACGCGGATGTGTTTACAACAATTTTATTGCTGAACTCGGTATTCCCGAGGTGATTAAAATTTCCATGTTGTTTCCCCTCTTTCTTTTTTGAAGCGAAAGGCTTCAAAACTGTTTTTACTCTCTCGATTTTTCTTTATATTTGTGACAATATATTTGCGACAAACCATAATGCTTAGCGGAAATGGACATGCGTAAGAGATTTCACTAAATTGACTAGCTAATCCTGTTGAAAACACAATAAAAATCTTATTAATAGATTTATCATTTGCCTTCAATGATCACTAAAAATTATTCTTGCAAACAGCCGCACGTTCAGCTCAACTACAGACAAAAATTCCAAAATTTTGTAGACCATTGCAATTTTATCTTTGAATTTAACTATAATTTGCTTGTTAACTAACAACCTCAGCTGTAAAAGACTTTCTGGGGTGAAAGAAAATTTATTCTGCTTTACTAGTTAAAATAATTTAAGCTTAGACACTTGAGGCATAAAAACGCCGACACAATTCAAGTTAGGGCGTAGAGCGCGTTCGATTAGTAAACACGCTTTCATCTCAAAATAGCGGTGTTTTTTTTCTTCTTCTTATGCGTTCTCGGGCATATGCACCGTGCGGTAACAGGCGAACCATCTTGATTCCGTAGTTTCGTTGTTTATCACCTTCGAGGCATATGCATTTGAAAGTGTGAATTTACACCTTAACGCGGCCTTCAATAAATAATAATGATTGTTTTAAGTTGTAATAACCCGCGTTCTGTGTCGCTCTGCATAACCTGCCATCAACAGCTTTCTTTCTTCCACTGTAAGAGATCACAACTGTGATACGTGACACTGGTGATGTTTTTTGGCTAAGGAATTTAATCTTGGGAGAAGCAAAAGTGTCTTTTTTTTTTCTCCATGACGAGTAAAAACTAACGAACAAATCAAATATTTGCTAAAAAGATGCAAACTTTAATAGCATCCTTGGAAAGCGCACGTAAACTCTACCACAATATGATGTTGTGGCTTACAAAAACCTTCGCGCAATCCCACAGGTACTGTTTGTGTACGCCGTGAATCTGTGCTTAATATTTAAAATTTTGGATAAGAATCAAAGATCATGAATATTTTAGGTTCAACTGATTTGAAAAGCAGGTACGACTTAAGAAAAAAAGAAAACTATATTCATTTTAGCTCGAAGGCTAATGCAAACACTGAAATACCTAAAGTAAGCAATTACTTTCTCGTCCCAGTAACGATATTCAATCAAAAAAGGAGTTCGTTAATTTTCATTAGATTGCTTAACAACAACAAAACTGACGTTATCGCGTCCGATCGCGCAAATTCAGTCCGAGCCATTAAATTGTTGTCTTTGTTAACATCTGCAGTAACCTCGCATTATTCAAATTAGGTTTATAAAGGCTGGGAATGAACTGCTTCCGATTACAAAACTGCGTTCGCCTCTTCACGGTGTGTTAAGCTTAGCGAAGTAAAGATCATTTCACAGGAACAACGACATCACATCTATACTCTTGTTTTACAACTAGCGTGTGAGTTGCCGAGGTAAGTTGAAGTACTGTTGGAGCCACACTTAACGAAACTTGTTTTTCTTTTCTTTTTCATCTTTAATCCTTATACCTCATATCAATTCTACGTCTGTTAAGGTTATAGATATGTATGATTTCTTTCCCCCCTCTATCTTTTAAAAAAACCCAGAAACGTAGTTTGCATTGAGTCGCCCATCGATAGGTCCAAAACACAGTATTTTAACGACCTAAAGGTATCGTTGAATGCAAAAGCAGAGTAACAGGCTTTAAAAGGAAATAGTAGAGCAACAGTTTGAGTAAAATATACTGAAAATGTGTTTAAAGTGTAATTAAGTTGGACTTAAGACTCGATAAACGCTCGCTTTGCTTGTTCTTACCCTTCACGTTTTTAAACAAACACTTACAGCAATGTTTATCCCTTCTTAGTTTGCTTGTCAAATAATGTCGCTCACTCTAACTCTATTGTTATGGTATCCTGGGATAAAAAAGAAACCTTGAAGCAAAACCAACGGAAAAAAAAATCGATTTTTGACGGGTACGGATATGTATTAATTCACTGAAAAAGCAAAAAGTATGCTTGACCCAAGTTTTCTTCGTTCCAATATTTTTATGTTTGTGAAGATTTCTTTGATATCCCGTTCAATCGAAACGACGATTCGCATTTCGGTGTGCATTCTAGCCGGCTTTGCAACTTGTTTTTCAACGCGCATACTAATTAGTTTTAAATCTTTTTCTAGAGAAAAAAATAATTATTTCTGCACTTTAGAAACGGAACTTCAGAAAACAATACAGCCAAAATTGGAGTTGATATTGAAATTAGTGTAAAGAAAGTGACTTTTATTCTCCGCAAAGCTCAAGTAAAACACTCAGTGTGATGTGCCGCCCAGTAAATTTCCGGCAATTAAAACTGAAACAGTTCTAACTTGTGATTTCGTTTTGTTGTAGAACATATTTAGCCAATAGGAAAACGCTAGTCTAACCATAGAGCATCAAACGCTATTGAATAGCTTTTTTGAGCACGGAAGCAACCATATGTAGTTCTCTATTTTACTATTTTATAACATGACGATCTAAATGTGAGCTGCTTTATCGATCAATGCACGTTATATATAGTTTATTTCTACTAATGTAAACAACTAAAAGAATTTACAAGATTATAATTATAAATAAATAAATAAACAAACAGTACAGTACATACAGTAGTGGGACATGCAAGCATGCATTTGTAATCAGGTCATAAAATAACGAATTTTTTTCCTCTGAGTATTTTCTAAATATATATAAATAACTATTTTGAATTTTTTAATTTGTATTTTTCTTCTAATGGGAATTCCATTAATTCCATTAAGTAATTACGTATATTACAAGGTGCTTTTTAAGTATTGCCCAATAGGATATACCTCATTTATAGATTTGGGTGTAATCTTGCTTGGACGTCTTCTTACAGTCACCTTTCCAATCAAATATGAACTGAAAATTATTCACCGCTATTGTAAATACTTCATTTCACTAATGATTGATAAGATTGCAGAACCAAAATATTGAGAACAATTCAACAAAGTTGAAAAAAACCATCATTGCATTTCAATAATAAATGTGAGCTGAAACAAAAATGGTGTTGAACGAGTTCTTAAAATGGCAAGCGTTAAGTTATTACATTTCTCGTTAATGTTTAGTTTAATATTAATTTCCTGGAATTTTGTTTTATATCTTGAGAGGAAAGCTTGCTTGTTATAAGATTTCTTTTCTTAATGAATGATAATAATAATAATAATAATAATAATAACAATAATCATAATAATTTGGTAAATTCTAGAGCGCCATTTGCATCTGTTGATCAACAGCGCTTTACAAATTTGTAAAGCTAATTATAATTACATGTATATTAATAAAATAGAATATTTATAATAATGATAATAAACTTAATTAGTAATACTAATAAGAGTGAATAACAAGCAAGATACACTTTAAAAGCTATACGAAATAAATAAGTTTTCAGCTCACATTTAAAAATAGCTTAAGCGAGGTAAATGTTTCTCAACTTGCTTGATGCTTGGCCTTGTTTGTGTACTGTTGTCATCGTAATTAACTCATTTACAACTGTTCCTAATCGCAAATTGCATATATAAGAGAGATAAGAGAGAGAAAATAACATTTTGCGGGCATGGTTAAACCCTGTTACTGTCGGTTCGTCTATGTTCAAATGAATTTCTTCTGATTTGGAAAAATCGTATATCTTGAAAAATATTGAAACAAATGGAGTTTCTATAAATTTCATTCTTTGATAGTTTTTCACTGACTTTATTATTTTACCACGCAAAGAGGATGAAATTTGAATTCGATTGAATTGAAACTATGGTTAGTCTATAAACTTTAAGGCTGTTATTATAATTCACAGAATTCCTTCTTTAAGGCTTAACATTTCTCAATATTTTGCTATTTTCATAACTTCACCTACCTTATAAAATGTGTATGTATCTAAATGCTCTCTATAGAGTAGATAAAAATTGAAATTCTTGCTGACCGTGCTTTCAGTTCGTCCATTCATAGACATGGATATATATGTAAAAAGAACCTTTCTTATCTATGTCATAAAGGCGATCTTAGTCCTGTTTAGAGTATTGATATAATCCTTTATTTTTTACTTTTAGTTGTGGATGAGAAATCATGGAGTACGGTGATTCCTCTGTGTTTTTTCCATTCACCTTTACCCAACAAGACATCGACAATGTTCTGTACGGTTACATCCGGACTCCAGAGAAAACATCTAATGGGTTTGCGCTGTCTGGAATTTATGTCGACACTTCAGCTAATGGTAAGCATCGGTGGCTACTGTGAGCAGTAATGTGATATTATCAATTGGATGTAATTTGCCATTCTTGCATAATTGGCCGGGGCTGGGGTACTCACTTATATGGGCAATATAGGTATGTACGGCCCCAAAGGACATGGTTTTTGAACGGCTTTGGGCAGAAAAAGGGTATTAATTTTTACCATTTTGGTCTGAAATAGGGTGCGGATTTTGACCATTTTGCTCTGAAAAAGGGTATACACTTTGACCATTTTGGACGTCTGAAATAGGGTATTTACATGATTTCGCTCCGGCTTGGCATTGGTTATTTTTTACAAGACTCTATTTTTTTCCGCATTTGCATTGGTAAAGTTGTAGTCCTTCTCAAATGTTAACTCGAATTTTTACGCAAATGAAGGTCATTTCGGTTAGCTGCAGTCATATTTTACAGCCGTGAACTAAATTTAGAGTTCTGAAGTGGGATATCGATGTTTGGCTCGGATCTGAAATAGGTTATGGAAAATCGCAGAGTTTGGTCTGAAAAGGGGTTAGGGTCTCAAGTTTCGAACCGAGACCCCACCCCTAAAAAAACTTTGGGGTATATCCTCGGGGGCAGGCGGGGAAATTGGCTACGAAAGTATAGTGTCGCGAAGGAGTGGGGTTATAAACCAAAACCGGTTTAGTTTGTTGATATCACAACACGACATTGGGGCGAATTTGAGACCTAAAATGACACCATTTTACTCCGACTTGACTTGTACCTTCAATATCAGCTTAACAAGAAATAATTAATATGACTGGACAAGGTACAAGAAATTTGAATGGGTGATTTATACACCTAATTGCACCTTTTGGTATGCAAGATTCGGCGGGATATCGGACGAGTGTGTTCGAGGCATGGTTCGTATTTTGGCGAGACCTGTTCGAATCAAAATACCCGTGGCGAGATCGAAAGGTGAAAAGTTTATATCTTTTTGCGTTTTTTACCTTGCCTTATCACATTGACATCGACCTCCTAAAGTGTAAAAGATATTTTAAACTGCCGTTGAGTTATTGAAAAAAACATGAAGAGCAAGGTAAACAGTACACAAGAACAAATTTTGATGCAATCTAGATCAGTATGTTGTCACTATAACGTATTTTACATCAAAATTAACTATTTAATCTCTTTTGAATAAGAAATGCATTGGAATCCGTGGCTGGCTAACGTGTCCCAAGTACATCAAGAGCCCTCCACAGGCCATCCAAACCCATATATGGAAATGTTTCATGAAGAATTGTGTATGCAAAATTTACCAGAAAATGTAAAGATTGTCGAAACCCATTTACCAACTGGACGACACCGGGGCGTGTTTGCCGGTCAGCGGAGGATAGCAAAAGGAACTCGGTTTGGGCCGTACACGGGAAATATCGTTTTACCACTGGAAATGAGGTCACTTGAAAAGAACAGCGTATGGGAGGTAATTAATGAACTGCTTTTCACACAGTGAACTTGCAATCTTCACTCTTCCCATAATTTCCCCCAACCCCCGCCCCTCTTCCCCCCCTTTTGTGGAGTTCACTTTACTGTCACGCAGTGATAAAGGTACTGCTTGCCCTGTTACTTAATTCTTTAAGGAGCCCATCACGTTATTTGGATTTTTTTTTCTTTTTGACTACGTACAGAATTACCTTTAAATTGAAGGAAACCTGAAAATAAAAGTCTACTGAGATAGGAAAACCCCAAAGAGATAACAATAAACCATAAAGGAATGAGGATGGTTAAAGGTGGAGACGATAACAACGGATTACAAACGACGGGCCGGAAAAATTTAGGCAAAACTTTTCAAGATGTGCAAACCGTGACGGTCGTAGCTCCTTTAAACCAGCATTGATTTAAATAACAAAAAAAAAATCTGTTCAAATTGTTTTCAGAGTTTATGACAGGGCAATCTGGAAATCATATATTCCTCAATGTCTAGAGTTGGGCTAGTTCGCCCTGTTCCGACAATTATCTGGATCAAGCAACGCATAAGTGTTTCACACCAACGCGAATTTCTTGATATTTCTTATCTAGGAGGTAGAATTGCGATTGACGTAAGGAAGCGTAGGAGGAAGTACAAACGTATTTAGTAATTATAACTCAGTTGATGGCTATTAACAAACACGCATTTCGATCTACAAGAGACCTTTGGAGTGTGCTCCTGGCTTCCAAGTGCTAAGTAAATAAACAAGCCATTTTACGAGTTGGATTATTGTAATTAAATTCAGGATCCATATTTGATGACCCTACAAACCCATTACGGATATTTTAGGCCGGGCATAAATAATTGTATCCATTTGTTTACATTTCAGATATTTCAAGACGGTGAACTCACTCACTTTGTAGACGGTGCAGGCGACCAGAGAAACTGGATGAAATATGTCAATTGCGCAAGACACGAAGGAGAACAGAACCTGGTACTAATTCAAGAAGAAGGTGAACTGTTTTATGAAGTTTGTATGGATATCGCCGAAGGAAGCGAGCTGCTTGTGTGGTATGGAGACACCTATCTCAAGTACATGGGTATTCCAATCACAATGAAGACAAAACTGACCAAGATAGAAAACGATGGTGGACTCGGTATGTATATCACTTGCACTGCTAGTGCAAGGACTACATTTAAAATAAGGCATCGGGAATCAAAAGCATTGTTATATAGCTGAAGTTTACCCGAATCTAACTCGAGCTCTTCCTTGACATAAATAGTGTTTTGCAATGTAAGAGCTTTAGTCTACTTGCAATTAGCTTAATCAGCTTTGTTTATTTATATTATTTTGTATGTGTGTCTACGTTTATTTATTTGTTTGTGACTCTGGCCTAAACATGTAAAATACATTTTCTTTTAACTGGCTGCCTGACATTTTTAACTCTTACGCTATTTCGGGTAGCCAGCATCCCTAGCTACCCCTATCATTTTTGTTTTTACTCTATTAAACATAATTTCTAACTTTGGGATGAAAAAAGTTTTTGTTGTTGTTTTGCTGTAGGGAAAATAACATTCCAAACTTGAATAAATCACCTGACTATGTCTTTCTGTAACAGGAGGGGACAGCTTCGCTTGTGACCGGTGTGGTAAGGTGTTCGCCTACAAATATTACCGAGACAAGCATCTGAAGTACACCCGATGTGTTGACCAAGGAGACCGGAAATACCCTTGTCACCTGTGCAACCGCTCGTTCGAGAAACGGGACCGTCTTCGCATACATATCTTGCACGTTCATGAGAAACACAGACCTCATCAGTGTAGTCAATGTGGCAAGCGGTTTTCGCAGTCCTCGAGTTTAAACAAGCACCTAAGGGTGCATAGTGGTGAGAGACCATACAAATGTCCTTACTGCATCAAGGCTTTCACTGCATCATCTATACTACGTACTCACATCCGACAGCACAGCGGTGAGAAACCATTTAAATGCCGTCATTGTGGCAAAGCGTTCGCTTCACACGCTGCACATGACAGCCACGTGCGTCGAACACACACCAAGGAGAAGCCATGCGTTTGTGAGTTTTGTGGCAAAGCGTTTGCACAGTCATACGAACTCAAATTTCACATGAACATGCACACAGGCGAGAAGCCCTATACTTGTGAAAAGTGCGGCCGAGGGTTTTCAAGCCCTTCATCACGTGATCGCCACCGATCAAACTTCGACTGCACGACTCGAAAAAATCGAGCGCCGAAGATGATGCGAAAGGGTTCCGAATGTAACGAGGGTGACTTCAACACTATAGATGGTGAGGGCTTCACTGCCGAAGAGGAACAAGTTAAATGATTGCTGTAATGTTTGACTTTTTCCTTCGAAATGGTTTCTTGTAAAAATCAATGATTTACACTTGCCCGAACACAGCTCACTTAATAATGGCTTGTGTTGGAAGAAAACAAATTTTAATTTGATCACTCCCAACACGAACGAACGAACGAACGAACGAACGAACGAACGAACGAACGAAAAAAAAAGACATGACATTACAATTCTTGTTGCCCGGCAGCTTCCGAATCAGGCCTAAAAAAGCTATTAGAACAAGAATCGAAGTATTTAGCTAGCAAAAAATTATATAATCCTTGAAATGTCTAAGTGTATCATATCCGGTGATATTCTACCTAAACGAGATATCTCTCATTTTACGAGTCTCTTTTATTTGAGTGCCAATAGCGTAAATCTGATTCCTCAAAATAGTACAGTGACGTTGTACTACTAAAAATAAGCAGTTTCTTAAAACAGATAATTGTAACTTGAAATAAATAAACACGAGTGAGCAGCTTAAAAAGTGTATTAAAGACGCCATGAGGCAAATCAATGAAGTGTCCTATTTAGTGAAAGGTGGTTTCTAAAGTAAAACAAATGACGTGATTGTGTGTGGTGTGCAAGGACTTAAGTCTATAGGGCAGAATATGTTAGTTGAGACGACTATATAAGTTTGACAAAGGCTCTATTTGTGCTGTTACGAACAATCCAGATTTATGTTAATAAATCAAGCAGCTTCTCCTCTAACTGCGTAACATGAAAATAAGTCGAAATATCAAAAACTACGCCTTGATTCGATTTAAATATATAACAATACTAAGAGGTATATATAAAAATCTCGAGATACAAAAATATCTCAGTCGAAGCAAATTTAGGAAAACAACTCAAGATGTAAATTTTTTAGTCTATAGCAATATATTGACTAAATAGAGGTAAACACATACTGAGGATGGCACCAATGGGCATGGGTTGAAGTTATATTTCGATCAGCATCAAAGCACTTTTACAATGATCTTCCGAAAGAAATTTCCGTTAACAATTATTACCCGTTTTATCCTGAAGTGATCGTAACTTGTAGCTAAGCCGGGAATACAATATTTGTCTCATTAGCATAAGCGCTTTGTCGACTCTGATTATTGGAAGACATGGCACGGTAGATTGTCCCAAGAAATTTATGCCTGTTGTATTCATCATTTTTGGCATGACATGGGTAGAAAACCCAATCCTTTGCGAATGCCAAAATGTGCCTTGGCTTATATTATTAGCGCTTTCGTCAACCGGAAATATTCCAGTTTTGAGAGCCAATATTTCGTTCCATATTAAACACCGAAGAGATAAAAAAATTCACTGTTGACTAAGTTTTGACTAAGCTTTGACTGTTGACTAAGCTTTTCGGATATTTAGACTCCAGCATGACGCCTCCTCTGCGCAGCGTCATATGCTTATGACGCAGAATATGACGCCAGTATATATTCTCTCATAAAAAGAATTCAAAAGAAAATAGAAATTGAATACTGATAAGATAGAAAAATGTCAAAGTGCCATCTTGTGAAAAATCACAAACGTCGGGGGGGAGGGGGGACTCCCATGCAAAAATGACGGGGGTGCTCGTCGTACCTTTTCGGGGCAGCTTTCTCTTTTAGGGGTTAAAAACACAGTTTTGGTACATCTTAGGGTGTTTAGCCTCAAAAGGTCCACAGCGAGAGCTTTTGTGGTACCTTTTATAGGGTATTGAGCTGAAAAAATATGACAGGACATAATATATTATGGAAGAATTGGTAACTATTTCAAAGGGCGCCCACAAAACCTGATCTTAGTACTTTTTAGGGTCCTTTCCAAAATTTCCGAAGAGCACCTCCGTCTTTTTTATATCGGAGTCTCCCTCCCAGGCGTCTTCTCTTGTATGCTTGCCATAAACGTTTCACGAGCTGTGGCAGATGAAAAGTATTCCTAAAGAAATGAATGCCAGAAAAGGAAAAGCATTTCGGAGTTATTTTTTTGGACAGAATTCTCTCTCCTTCTCTCTCTCTCTCTCAACGTATAATGTCACATCACGTTTTGATTAACAAAAAAAAATCTCATCTCATGGTGACTGCTATGTAGGAGACACAGAATAATTTTGATGTCAGTAGTGACAAATTCAGAGGTCAACGCCAGGGCGTATAGGCAGAGGTGCTCCTGACATCATAATCCCTTCGGGAGTGAGGTCATTCCCCTTACGGAGAAGCTGACTTCAATGGGGTAGATGATGTCTTATTACGACGAAAACTCAGTGGAGGTCTTTACGCCCTCCCTGTACTATTGGTGTACAGACCCGATAGCTAAGAAAATCTGTGTAGGAAAAAATACTCTATGTTAAGCTTCACCACCAACCCTTTATACTTTTATTGAAAGAAAAAAAATACTCTCGCACTTAAAAATCAATGGTGATTAAATTTCTAGTTTTGCTAATTTCATTTCGCTCTTTTAATGTTTCACATACATTTTGTCTCATGATTCTTTCTTTGTGTAAAATTCACGTAGGGATATGTTAAGATCTATTGACGTTCACTTGAGCCACTAGAATATAACCATGTATGAAGTAAGTGAAAGCGCAGAAACTGGCATCTTAAGATCGAAACCTGTCATCACAAATGAATGAGGTAAAAAGCCGAAAAATGAGTAAACCTATGCTGAAAAATATAACGAAAAGCTAAATAATTAGGAGCTATTCAAAGCACAATCGGAAACAACCCATATGAATTTTGCGAAAAAGTCTTTTATCCATGCTAAAGTCTCGCGGCTTTTCTTTCACATGCTAATCTTTGGGGAAGTTTTTCCAATTGGAGATAAAATCTTGCAATTAGTTTTCTTTCAACTTCAGGCGTTAATTAAGTGTTCCATTTAACTCTTAAAAGCACTTTTGTTTGTATAAAGGTGAAAACTGAATTATAACCTAAAAAAACAATAACTTGTATTTTGGCCTTTTGTACGATATCTATAAATATAACCATAGTTCAGCCAATAGCGCGTTTTTTGTGTTGTCTTTATGTGAAGTTGCCTTGGAAATGCTTAATTACAGGATGGATGATATTGTCTTACAGGAAAAACCTGAAGTAATATAAGATATAACTTGGAAGTCAAGCTCGCCACAATCACGATATACTCTTTAAGTCAATGGCACGTCGAATCATTTTGCCTTAGGCAGATGGTTCTGGTGAGGATTTGGTGAGTAAAACATATTTTTGTATACTGACCGACAAATTTTGTGACTATTTCGGAGAATTTCCTCTTTTCTTGTGTCGTAAAGAATCAGAAACATAGATATCGTTGTAAATAAATGGCGGATAAGTCGGAAACCAAGCTGTAATATATCTGAGACAGTGTTGATTTTGGGTGGCAAACTCAGGATAATGAAGTTTTTGATTGAAGAATTCTCTTGGTATTCATTTCAATTTTCTAATAGTGTAGGAGGAAAACATGTGGGTACGATCGAGGCAAAATGAAAGCAAATACACAACACGACAACTTTAATTGATATGTTAAAAACATCAAAGCACTATTTCGATCTCGGGAGCAATATAAGGATTTTCGAAATGAGAGTTTATGCCGGACGAAAACCTTCCATGAACAATGTTTGGGCAATAAACTAAGCCAGCGCCAGATGATTTATGAAATTCAGCATTAATTCATAAGTAAGAAGAGAAATAAAATCTAAATCAAATTTTTAGAGGCGAAATGATCACATATGCCTTGAAAATGTGCGAAGAGCGTAGAGCCAGAATAGGCCATTTGCGTATTTTCCTTTGAATCTGTGTCAAAACGAGTCTTGGTGGGAAGCTAATCGTATGAAAATGTGCTCCCTGGAAAGGTTCATTTTCATGCAAATAAAGGTTTTCCACCATGACTCGTTTTGAAACAGAGGCACAAGGTAACTTGGAAATAGTCTTTTCGATTTTGCTGTCCATTTGTTTGAACATTCCACAAAATCGAACTCCGCACTGATTTCGAGTCGCTTAGATTATAGGACTTCACCATCGTACTTTTAATCTAAGCTTTCCTCGTCATTTACCTTGTCATCGTCACGAGCATAAACACTTCTCTAAGCCGCCATTTTTCGAAACCTGAAATATACCTACGCATGCGTTTCACCAAGAGATTCGCCTAATCCCGCAGTGGAAAGTTTACATGTTCTGGACGACATTATCATGTTGGACCAGGTTTCGCTTCAATTTTGCACGAGATGTGGATCAAACGTCGTGCCAGCGTTGAACTTAGTATTCTACAAGTTCGACTTAACCACAACTGTAGCTCGGCGTTTGAATCAATTAACGTCGGCCAGAATAGGGTATATGGCGCGGACAAGCTGAGTCACACTAAAAGCTACCCAACACTTACGTGACGCTGGATTCAAACGTCGAACTACACCTGTACAGTCGTGCTAAATGTCGGTCTTAATTGATCAACAGAGTCCGGCACGACGATAGCGCAACGTATGAGCCTGGTATTAGTTCACGATCCAACCATTCACTTCTTTATTCGTTTTATCTATCCAGTTGACATGTTCAGTCATTCGTTCGTTCGTTCACTCGTTCCTGGGTTCCTTCGTCTGTTCTTTTGTCCCTTCAATCATGTATTTATGTTTCTGTTCTTTGCTTGTAGAGTCTCTATCAGCATGATGAAGTCTGCGGCGTGGATCCTACCTTTGGCCTTTGAACTTGTCCTTTATCACACAGCAGTTACCAGCTGCCCTCTAAAGTGCTCCTGTAAAGATACGTCGATGCATTGCAACATGGATGATCTCAGATCTCTTGAAACCATGAGCGACCAAAACATCACTAACCTGTAAGGGTTCATATCATCAAACTACAATTTTTTTAATAAGAAAATCGCAGTCATTATAAAAATTAAGGAAAGGGAACAATGTGACCGAATTGCCTTTTACATGCAAAACCTCTGTATAATGCGAGGCGGCAATAGCTATAGACAATAATTTTAAAAAGAAAGTAAAATTGTTGTAAGGCAACTGGTATCACAGTGAAAAATTACAGTTAAAGAAAATTTTAATGGATGATTGCGAATAGTTTGGTTAGTCACATCACACGGAATTCGAACCAAGAGAGCATTTAAGTAAGATAACTCTTTATTCGATTCTCTCCTGGACGAAACCAGAAAGTTGTGAGTGATTATTTAAGCAAAACAATTCTGTAGAAGGACTCGCTTATCGATTCTATGGACTTTTTGGTAGATTTTATAGACTTTGTTATATATTATGTTAAGGTGTCACTGACAGATCATAGGTGCCTACATGTATAATACATAAAATATGTGGAAAATCAAGAGACTTTGTAGTTTCGACATTTAACAAGAAGCTAAAAAGTTTGATCATGTAAACGCGACGATGTGTCTCAGCCGAAGACTGGTTGCAAAACAAAGCAAAACATCATCAATTCGCCATTTAAAATTTGTGAAGAAGGCTGGTGATACTGACTGAAACGTTTATTTAATTTTAACGCATTTAATCTCAGAAATACCCCAGAAGTCAACTTCTTATTTAAAATAAGAGATGAAAAAACAACAACAACAACAATAACTTTATTTACTCACACATTTACAGTTTTTTATATATATATATATCAGTGAAATGTAAAGACAAAGAAAAAAGTGTACTATATGAGTTTGGAGACTGAAGTAACCAACAGTTTTCTAGTCAGCCTCCAGTTATTATGTTTCTATGGAGTTTTAAGAGAAAAAAAAGCTATTAAGAGAATGAGATATGTACGTAAAATTGGAAAAAAGGAGCATATAGAAATATTACTTGTTTTCAGAATGTTTTTCAGACAGTAAATAAAGTTTCAGATGTTCGAGAAGTTGAAGGTATTGAGGTCTTTAAGATGAGTAGGGATATTGTCCCAGAGAATAGTCGCTGCATAAGCAACTGTTTGTTTACCAGAATTGGTACGCACTTTAGATATGTATAGATTTTGTCTGAAAGGGTCATAAAAACTGCTAAATCTATCAATTTCCTAACTCTTCTGTTTTAAGATCGTTATCAAGCAACAGGATCAAGAATATAACTCCTGGAGTTTTCAAACGATTTGATCGACTACAGTTTTTGTAAGTATATTCGAGAACTCTTGTTTGCTTTATTTGTTATTTTTTTTGTTCTGTTTTGTTTTTTTATAATGATATTGTTTTATATCACAGAGCATGTTTCTAATCTAATGGTCCAACTTTCACCTCATGCGAACGATGGTACATTATAATCATCGTAACTTCGTATAATTGTACCGTTCTCGCTTTAAACCATAATTTTTTTTTTCGACAGGTCTTTAGAAGAAAATGAAATACACCAGCTCACTAGTGGATCGTTTGTGGGGCTAAAAAGTCTGCAAACTCTGTGAGTATTAATACAGTATAACTTCCTGTTTTGGCGTCCTCCATGTTCCAGACAGTTCGCTTCGTCCCAAGAAAACTAAAAGGCGATCATGCTTCTTTTGTTTGTACAGGAAGTGAGTGTATATGATCGCAATAAGCAGGGAACCAGAATTAATATAATCTCTACCTTTATGTCGGTACAGAAACAGCAGCCATCTATCCCCACAAAGCCAGCTTTGTTTCCCAAGGCTGCCGCAGAGATTACCCACTCCCTCATAGCGTTGCCTGGTCAGTCATAAGAGAGGGTGCAGCTCAAGACACTGACTTTTTAAGGGCACATCCGCGACATTGTCCCTAGAGAAAAAAACGCCGCGAAAATAGGGAAGTTGCACGCTCCGGGTGATGGGCCCCTGGCGTCTTGGGTAACTATCATTTGTACGGACACCTCCATGATACGAGCACTCAGCACTGGTACTTTGATGTCTGTCAAAAAGGATCGACTGTGACTCGGTGCAATATTATTACATATATATGTAATGCCTATCATGAAGTCCTGAATCAACACGCAACTTTCAATGGGGCATGAAATAAACCATAAGGAAGTTAATTATTCAAGTCAATTACTAAATTGGCTTTTCATTTAACGTTGGTGTTGATTTTCTGTCTAGGGTTTTACAAAACAACCAGATCTACTACGTATCACAGGAAGCGTTTCATCCTCTACAATCTTTGCGACAGTTGAATCTCAGAAATAATAGATACAAACAGTTACCGTCTTCTATACTGTTCCTGCCATCTCTGGAGAAGCTTGTGGTCGATGGTTCAAGAGAATGCGAAAGCTGCGAGCTCAACTTTGCACCAAACTGTTCCTCTGACACGAGGAGGAAGCCAAGGCAGATTCCTTCCTTTGGCAGTGTGGCCGGTGTTTGCTTGAGCATAAGGTGCTTGTACCATCCGCCTACCTCGTCGTGTACATCCGCCCAGGTGGAGAAAAGCGACGTGAGTTCTACACAATATGCAGTAATCAGACTAACCCAGGATAACGTTTCTTACCATAACAACACCGACGCTTCGTTAACTTCTCCGTCTCTTCTAGAAAACATTGCGTTAAAAACCTTCTTATTCATCTTGGGCATCTTGGCGGTCTTGGTCAACTTAGGTACAATAACTATCGTGTTTACAACGCCCCAGCTTGCTCGCATTAGCACGATGTTCTTAGCAGGTCACATTGCTGTCTGCGACTTCCTGGTTGGACTGTCTTTGTTAGTTACTGCAGTTCTTGCCTTTGATAACGAACAAAGAAGATTCATTGATTACGTCTGTCCGTACGTCTGTCCTGTAATGATATCGTTTCGTTCAGCCGCACTTATCGTTGAACCTTTGGTTTTATTTGTCATGACACTAGATCGCTACAAACGCATTGTCAACTATGGCAAGCCTCCACTGAGTCGCCACTTTATATCGATAGCAACTTACTTTTCATGGTTTACCGCTGTTGTTGTAGTAAGCGTTGGGTCAGTTGGCTTCATTGATAAAGTAAAATATGGGACTCTTTGCTCACGAGTAGATTCTTCAAGAAAATCGATTGACTTTTACATCGAGAAAGCCCTTATTACAGTCAGTGTTGCTCTGTTTGTATTCTGCTGTATCATGTACTTTCGAATTTACAGAGTAGTAAAGACCCAGAACCAGCGGATGGGAACGCAAACGTATGTACGAGTTTCTAAGCTGATCTTCGCCCTCGTTTTTAGTACTGTGGTATTATGGTACGTCCCAGCTATAGCGGTCGCATTCTTTGGGCGTCAAAATGTCAGCAGAGAAGTCCGGCAGCTAGCAATCCTGATTGCATTCACGACGAATTCGCTAATAAATCCTTTCCTGTACGTTTTCAGAGAAAAGAAATTTCGACGTGAAATATTTCCCTTCTGTAACCGCCGCACAGGAGGTAGAACGGTAAATCCAAATGTAGACGGGAAGAATGTATTTCGAGTCTATGAGATTGCCATGGTTAATATGGAAGGACTACAAACTTCAAGTAACTATTGTAATGACGAGGAAACATCGAAAGAGTATTCAACGTCACTGTAAAGAGTGGATCAAAAAAAGTACCAGAAAATATTGTCAAGGGTGATAATGACGTCATAACGACAACCATGCATGTGACAATGATTAAACCATACTTGTGCAGGGTAGCCATTTTCCTATAAAATATTGCCGTTGTTTCCGTTTTTTTTTTTTTTTTTAAGGTCCTGTTTATAATACGATCATGCTGCCTAAACTCTCGGAATGAATCTCAGGGGCAATGTGAAAATCATAAAATAGTTTTCAAATCTATAAAAATGAAGAACCTGGAAAATATATCTCCCTGTCGGAGCAATAGCGAGAGGTTGAGTGAAAAAGGTCTAAGAGACCTGGGGCCCTGTGATGGGGACCTGGGGCCTGGTGGGATTTAGGGGGAGGGTCATGCCAAAACATATGGCATGTAAGGGCAATTAACTAACGTTTTGATATTTGAACGAAAGCTTTTAAAATTTATTCAGTTTTAAGCAGGGATTCAATGAGTCCGATGTTCAGCCAACATTTGCAATCTGTGGCAATCGGAAAATTCTATTACCATCAATCAAGTTATGACTCGAGCTCCAGTTGCACATACTTAATTTACTTGGTTGGAAGCTCCTTATTTATCAGAAGGGCGAACCAAAAAGCAATTATTATATAATTTAAGTAAATGACATATTAACGCATTATCAATATCGTCCCAGCTTTTTACGGGATGATCATTGCGTATACCGTAAAGAAAAATATCCTATTGCCCATTCATTCAGAGACTGAATTTATAGTTTCCTTCGCATGTGCTGCCATGTATTGCAAGTTATGTATTGTTTAGCAATGAAATGCAAGAAGGTGACTGTTGTTTAAGTGCTTTATTGTAAAAGTATTGCAGGTAATGCATCGTTAGCATCGTATAGTAATGATGATAATGATGATAATAATGATGATAATGATGATAATAATGGTGATGATGATGATAATAATGACAATAATGATAATAATGAAAATAATAATAATAATGATAATAATGATAATAATGGCAACGGTAAAATAATACGTTCCTTACATACAAAGGCTATCAACTGGTTTGAAGTAACAAATAAATGAGAAGGAAATTTCAATATCACGATTCTATTGTTGAGATATTACATTTACAGCTGCAGTTGCAAACTGCACGACAGACTGGTTCTCTTTTAGGGACTTCGCCAGAATGTTATTAAGATTTAAACATGATACGAAATGTCTTCTCCAGCAAACGTATACTCTCATTTTAACATCAAAAAAAGGAAGTCATATTAATAAGATTGCGGTTTAATGCACATACATGTAGTGAGCAGTTAGTACTTAGGTCTAGAGTATTTGTATTATAATTTCCTTGAACAAAACAGAAACGTAGTAAAGTTATTGCAAATAAACAAGCAGTTTAGTGTGAACTTGTGAGCTTCGGGGGACAGTGTCCAAGGACAAATATTCGAGTATATTTTCAAAGTCAAATTGAGGCTATTGTGCCTATTATCCTTCAAATATTTTCCGAAACGCGCCACTTTGAAAACTGGGGCATATTTAGTCTCGTGACGCGTTAAGACCAATCGCGAGAGAGCGAAATATTTGATGGATAATAAAACATATTACTATTTGCTCTAAGAGTCACTTGTTAAGATCTCCGGGATTCGGTTTTACAGTAACTTGTAGAAAAAGGGACCGAAAAAATTTCAGACTGACGTCAACAGGAAGTTCGTCCACCAATTTCCATAATAACACGAAAAACATTTCGATTTCGCAATCCATTAGAATCTTAGCCGGGCTTCGTTCGCTCTATCTGTGATATCGCGAGAATTCATCAGCAGCAATTTGATAGCTAGGACTTAATTTATCCTATAATTTTGATTCTTCTGTTTCGTATGACAAATGATAGTTGCAAAACCTACGTTATTTATTGAAAACAACATCAACAACATTAAAAATTAAGAAAGTTGTGGCTGTGGTTATGCTTTATTATGATTGGAAAAAAATGCTTTTATCTCGTTCCATTTTCACTTTGCGGATGGGTTGGAGACTGCTCTCGCCACGCTCGTGCGCTGAAGCGTGATTAAGAAGTTTGACAAACAATATCACATTTATTGTTCTGGCGTAAATATGGCCACTGGTGTATCGTTTATTTGTCTCAAATAAGCTTATCAAAAATTAATTACAAGCACTAAATGGTATCCTCAGAAAAGGTGGGCCACCGAAAAACCACCAGAGAGCAAATCGAATTGAAAGATCTTTGGCTGGAGCTGAGGGAGGGGGAGGGGCGCGGAGCGAAACTTTTAAGTCAGCACTGAATGGTAAAAGTGACCTAAAATAGCATTACAAGCGAACTAAATAGTAACGTTACTGAGCCCGCCTACTTCCCTCTGATTGGTGACTCCTTAGAGATATGACCTTGAAAACTGAGACAGGTATTACAATATAATATATGTTTGTTATTACACTAAAGACGTTCGAAACCTGCTTTCTATGTTTAACACGTCTTTTTGTGACGTCTTAGGCATTCAATAAGTGAAGAAAGTTAGTTCAGAAAAGTTCGTTTTTAGCATGGACACATAAAGCCTAGAATCCTATATACTTAGTGGCTTTCGAATGGTATTGTCAAGTGTTGTTAATTACAACTGCTTTTTTCTTTTTGCAAAAACACAGATAAAAAAACTCTCCTTGCTTTTTTAAAGAAAGACTGGCAATGGTCGCTTGCAAGAAGGCAATTTAAATTTCTATCAGGTTGACTAACCAAAACCTGATATAGACATTAATAAACAAAAACAATTAAATATACCGCAGCGGCCTTCAACAGATGAAAATAAGACTTTTTTAATTAAGTTCTGAATTTGCCTTTATATGACACGCCTCCATTTAGCTGGTTGTGGTTCTTCGGTTTGCCATTTGAGAAATCAAACCTACATAAAATAGAAAGAGGAATTTAATTACCCATGAAATTCTTTTAAATTATTCATTTGATATTTCTCACTTGCGTACAAACGTGGACGGTTTTTGGTAAAAATCCATATTTTTAGGAGTCTATAAAACGAACACAATCTTCATATTTGCTCAATGCTTTATGATCGGCTCAGTACCGTCACCATAATGTAATAACAAGTTGATTTACTGCATTAAAGGTTCGGTTCATAAAAGGTTTTTCGAAGAATCAAATTAAACTGTCGATTTATTCTAGACGGATAATTAACAAAACTTAATTTATGGACATAGTTTTCGAATATAATGTCAAGCTTTTGAAACTGGCTTTATAGATTTAGTAATGGATTCAGCAGTCTCGAAGTGCAGCCTCTTGCTTCAAGATGTGATGAGAGCTAACATCTAAAATCTCCAGGTAAGTTGTACACTTAAAAATCAACATGCAGGTGGTTGGCAAACGGTTTTAACTTTGGTTTAACGATTTTTAAATCGTTTACACGGGTATAAAATATCGGAATATTTCGATGTCAATTCAATTTCAAAACACTCTTTATGAAGCAAAACAAAGCCGAGGCTTGCTCTAAATTACGTTTTCTTGGTAAGTTCCGGGAATACTTTTATTGCAGTAACAACTGTACACATGATTGTTGTTCCTCGATTTTTTTTTTTTTTTTCAGTTTTTTAATACGTTTTAATTAAAAGATGGGTTCTTGGACTTCGCCAAGTTAACAATAGCCTAGTTAAATGAATTTAATTTTCCTTTTTTAATAAGGGTTTTTTTGCTCAATTAATAGTCTTATCGTTTTCATGTATAGATGATACCATTCTGTAACTTAAAAGCGAATTTAAGTCTTTATCAATGCACTTTTCCAATCCGCTCTGAAAAATTGCAGAATCATCTTCAATTTTTATTTTTATTAGAATGCACTCTAGGTCACAATTAGTGACGATATTAAGATTTTAAGTGTAACCTCTGATATTACTTAATTTATTTGACTGCCGAAAAGCTTTTTCAATTTCCAAAATTCAACGTTTTAGACTGCAGTGAAATGTAAACATTGCAATGACGTATAGAGGACTTCAGGCTAAAAGGCTATGTTTGTTGACTGATGCAAAGTGACCTTGAAATAACTGTCTTTCGTTCTCGTCTATCTTTTTGTTGTTGTTGTTGTTCTTCTTCTTCTTCTTCTTCTTCTTCATCATCTTCTTCTTCTTCATCATCTTCTTCTTCTTCTTCTTTTTCACCATCGTCATCATCATCTTGTTGTTGTTGTTGTTCTTCTTCTTCTTCTTCTTCTTCTTCTTCTTCTTTTTCTTCTTCTTCTTCTTCTTCCTCTTTGCCATTATAAAACTGAAGCAAACCATTAGGAAACACTGCTCCGTTGATAAGACGCCACTTTCAATAGGGGGTTTAGATTATTATTTTAAACAGACAGTCCTGTGCATTAGTGCCTTTTTGTAAGCGGGGCATCCTTGCCAAAGGAGAAAGGCAAGTTACAAAAAAAAATATTTTTTAGTATAATTTTCAGAGGTGAATATAAAAATTGGACTTTCTGATTAGTCGATAACGCTCGGCTTATGACGCTTTATTCACGCACCCGGCGGTGATAACATTTCTACGCTTGCCTACTAAGCTCGTCACCTTTGCCATCTTGGCAGGTAAACATGGCGGGCAGTTGTTGAACGAAATTTTCATTTATTCCAAAGGCATCTCTTTAAGTCCAGGGTAGTTGAAAGCATGGGGAATGACTACTGCCACCCTTGGTCCAAAAATGTTTTCAACAGCTCGTATTCAAGGCAGTTAGGAATCGTAAACGCAGTGGTTTTGATGATCGCCAGCAGGGCAGATCGAGGGGCCGAAATTTATATTGGCAATTGAACTGAATGGAGTGCAATTTGGTCTGAAATCATACGCGTGATTTCAAAATCGAACGAGCGCGCAGCGCTCGTTCGATTTGAAATCACAAGTATGATTTCAGACCAGAATTGCACGACCCGAAGTTCAATTACCACTTTATTACATCCATTTTGAAATCGCACAATTTAATAGCCCAGTACCAATATATATTGAACCAGTAGCCGGTTTGTCAAAAAGGGGAACCGGAAACGCGTTCACATCTCATTTTGAAAACATGGAGACTTACATGTCAACGTCATGTGTCAAAAACTCATTCGAGCGTAACGAAGGAAAAACACGTTCCATCTCAAGCGGTTAAAATTTGCTCAAGTCATTAGCAAAACAAAAGAGTCCACTTGAAAGTTCATTCTTCGTCGTCCGACTCAATGATGTAAGCCCTTCGTTTTTTCTGTGGTTCTGACTTCTCATTGACGTCTTTGGAGCAGAAATTGAACGTGCAACCTGTGTAACTCGGCGATGGAACGGCGCTGCCAGAAGAAGTGAAGGTTGCCATGCGGTACTGGAACTGCGAAGGAAAACTTGGTGGAAATCCGGACCATCCAGTTGGCTGGAAACCAAGATTGAAGCCCATCATTGCCTGATGCATCTGGCCTTGTTGTTGGTGAATAGGAGCCAGTGGTGCTCGTTAGTGTTGGACTGCAAGTGCTTGATTTGAGGCTTCATTTGCACTGGTTGGGTTGGAGACCTCGTTTGAACTTTTTTCGTTATGCCCTTCTTTATATCGGAATCCACTGATTATGTGAGACAGTTCTTTCCTTTGGTTCTCATTTACTTCATCGTAGTCGTCTAAGGAAGATTCACGAGCATGACCTGTTATTTCGCAGATGATATTGCGCGGTTGACCAGAATTCTTCAGTTTTGACACCAATGTTTTCCTCATGCTGTGGTTCGTCAACTTCTTATTTGTCTTGAGACAGGAGGCCATGGATTTCATGATATTGCCGATGGTGTTTTGTCCCATTCGAATTTTGGTGGACCAGACATCTGGTGACTGAGGACGATTTATGATGCTCAGATAGAGAGGCCCTGTGTCCTTCATTCCCTCTGGTCGCTTAGACAACCAAAACTTGAAGAGCCGCATTGGATCGGTTTTTCCGCCGTCGGTGCTGTACATAACCTGTGG